GCCTGGCTTTTAAGGTGGGCTGGGAATAGGGAGCAGGTGCATAGAATAAAGTCTTGAGTGATAGGGCTGGAGCGCCCTTAAGGAGGGGGAACTAATATCGTGACAGTCAGTTTGCAAAGCTTTTCTTACGTTAACAAACGTGTTATAGCAATGCTGTGTAATGAGAAAATACTTATGGAAGAATATAGTTCCAGGGGTTTGGAAGAGGATGCAGTTGAACCATACCTTCAGTGAGTTTTTTAGCTGTTTGTATTTTCATAGATTTTTATAAACTTTACCTTATGATCAAGGTGAAGCTGTGGAAGGAAATTAAATTATTTGATGAGGCCAGAGGTGATCTTTAGATTGTGGCTGAAATCCTTTTCCTAAATTAAAGTGACTAGATGACACCATAATCTCTGCCCCATAATCCCAGGAACACTGCATGGTAGAACATGTTTCATATTTTCCCAAAGGTTTGAAGTAAGTAATATGGTTTTTAACTTTTTATATACTGTATTGCAGCACCTGGGAGTTGAAAGTTTCTTATCATAGTCTTATGCATGAATACTTTTGTTAACATTTTTATGGTCCATTACCTGTTCTACATTAAATCCATTCCCAGTAGGGCTAAGGGAGTTAAAGTATTATTTTTTTCAACAAATACTTATTATTTTTCATAGTACATTATTAAGAACCCTTTACATTAAATCATCCAGCAGGCATCTCTATAGAACTCCCAGTTTTGTACATTGGATTTTCACAAGTAACAGACAAAAATTATTTTTGTGTTTATGAAAGACATTTTTCAACTGTGATGCTTTATAAGTTTGACAGGGGATACACATTTAGTACTGCATCAGTACCAATTCATATCATTATAAATCAGACATTTTCATACAATGAATTTAAAGATCTGTTGCTTAGCAACAACCAGAAACATTTGGATGAATGCCGTTTTTCTAAAATCTTTCTAATGGAAAGACAGACGATGAGGTGTTTGTTTAAGTATTTCTGGCAGATTATTTTAAATTCGGACAAGTGATTGCTTTGTGAAATTAGTAATAGTTGAAGCAATAATGTATTTTAGTAGCTTGTCACATTGTATCAGATATCACTTGCTTCTGAGTCATAATGTGTACTCAGCATCATATTCCATGCAAAATGTTCAAACCCACATAAATGCACAATAAAATTAAATTGCAGTACCATTGTAAAATACAGCATAGTGTCCTAATGATTTATTCCTCCCTAAGATTTTCAAGGTAACAATTAGACATGCCCTGTTGCCTTGCAGAGACTTCACCTTGGGTCTGTCTTTACCACTCAGCTTCAAATCCGAGGAATGAAGCAACTTAGCTTGAGATAATTGGGAATAGGTCCTCATCAGAACAGATTGCATTGTTTAGTCACCGCCAATGACTATTCTCACTGGCAGTCAAAAATACAATTAGTCAACTGTTTTTTTTAACAGTTAAACTGTTATTTAATCTGCTTCTAAATGTTGAATTTCACATTTTCTTTCACATTAACTTTTAGTTGCTGATGTAATAGAGTTGAATAAATTAGATATCAGCATAATATAAAGGTAATGGTAGTCAACTTTTTGTTTTGTATTCTTTAGTTTAAACTGATGCCAGATGTTTTCAATTACTGGTGTACTCTGGGCCTATTATGAAAGATTTTATAAGGTCTGTCTGTAAACCCTTCCATTTTCTAAACACTGCCTTGTTTACAGTATATTTGCCACAATTCAAAACCATCTAGCTTTCCAAGCAAATTTATCACTGCATCAGAATATATTGCATATCCAAAGTACGAGTTCTATCACTAACCTGCTTAATCATTGTCTATATAGAAATTGTTTAATTTTAATGTAATTGAAGGAAAAGGTAATTAATTCAAATATTAGTAGTATTTAACTACATATGCATTATCCATATAGTTCTTCTGCTTTTTCTCTACTGTGA